AAGAAAAAATGAAAAAAAAAAAAACAAAAGAAATGGAACATTTTTAAAAAGCTGTGAAATGATAAAAATTGTCTATCTTTTCAAAATTATGTGAAATCACTAATTTTAATGGGTGACTATTTATTTATTTTACAAAAATAAACGATTTGAAAGTATTGAATTCCAGATGATTTAGAATTTTTCAGTTCTTAATTTTTTTGAACACGACTCGTTTACATGTCAGGAATACGTGATTTTCGATAACATTAACTACGATACACCAACACCAAGGTATACTCTTCAAATTCTTTACACCTGACTGCTTTAATGTCACGGGTACCAGCGCGGAATGGCGACCCGTGTTTGTGCTGGTCAATTTGCATTATCTTTGTTTGCACTTCATTGCAGTTACGTCTATCTTTGCTTGCACTGACCTGCACAACTATAATTGTAACTTTGTTTGGTATCTTTACTTTGAAAGTATTACGTTATTAATTATTCTCGCTACCGAGTGCTTTAAACATCCTTTATACACCGTCAACTGATAACAATGAATTGTGACAAGCCCTGTGCTTTATATTGGGGTCTGCAGATATAGCGAGAATCCGAACAAAAATGGCGGATACATTCCTTTTACAAAGCTTTATTGACGATGCATAGAGCATGATAAAAGTTCAAGTTTTATCTTTAATTATTGAATCCAACATCTACATGTATATAAAATTGTTTTTCATATTTTGCAAGTTATATTTACATTGCACAATAAAGCTGCTACTTATCGTTGCTATGTCCAATTGGTGTGTTGTTGTTTATTTTACTTTCATTTAAAAATAATAAATGGATTTTAAGTAGAATCAATTATTAAATCTGCCCTTCTTATACATACTTACACAAAATATTAATATCACCTCTAAGAGCCCCAAGTTGATGTTTTTTTTTTCACTTTCAAGCATTTATCCAGAGGATCTTTGAAGACGGGCGAGAGTGTCTCTCTCATTTCAGGTTTATTATTTAACATCTGAATCATTGGTTCACATTGTTATACAGTTGAATTTCAGTGTCTTAAATACTGATATCTCGAAAGCCATGAATATGTCAAAGTGATTTGGAAGTCTCAGCTTCTTCTTATCATTATTATTTGAGTATTTTACCCTTGATATCTCAAATCCTCACATATCTTAAAAGTTTTTTTCTGTCTCTTTGAGTTTGAATTTACAAAATTTGATAGAACTTTTATATCAAATCATGCCAAAGTACCAGAAAATATTCAATTTTTAACAATTCAATTCTCTTTAAAGATAATGCTAATAATTTTTCAGGCTAATTCTAGTAGCCAATTTGTGGTAGTATTCTGTGATCAAAGTTTATACGTGAAAATTGTTACTAGTACAGAAAGCTATTTTTTTTTTTTGGAATGAATAAATATTGTACTAAAGCTAGAACTGTCCAAAGGGGACGAAATACCCTCGCTGGGTTTTTCAGAGGTGGCAAATCATGAATATTTTATGGATCTATAAGAGAAGAGAGAAATACTAAAACATTTTAGTGCAAATGTAATTGTAGCTCATTATATTTTTTATGAATAAAATTAACTTTTTTCTTTCAAGGTGCAGCCTTGTAGAAAAAAATAAAGACTAAAGATAAAGACGAGACACAAATTATGAACTTTTTCTGTCAGTGACCTTGAACTTAATTTAGTGACCTTGGTTCAAAGACATGACACATCCTCATGTCATAAGCAATCTTTGTGTATAATAGGAACTCACCATGTTTATTCATAAGACAGATATGGAGCGGACATGAATTATAATTTTTTTCCTGTCAGTGTCCTTGAACTTGCATAAATGTCCTTGGGTCAAGGTCATGACACAACCTCAGGTCATAAGCAATCTTTGTGTGATGAAGAAGTTTATCCATAAGAAAGATATGAACCAAGCACAAATAATTAACATTTTTCTTTCAGTGGCATTAAACTTGTAGGAATTACCTTGGTGTGAAGTAGTAAGTCATGTTTCATCCTCAAGACATAAGCAATCTTTGTGTAAAACAGGAACTTACCAAGCTTATCCAGAAGAAAGATATGAACCAGACATGAATCATGAAATTTTTCGTTAAGTGACCTTGAACTTTTGGAAATGAACTTGGTTTTTTAAAGTCATAAAACACCCTCAGCTCATCACAAGCCATCTTTTGTATGTAAGTAGTATATTAAAGTTTTTTGACACAGGTATGTTCCAAATAAGATTTTTTTATATATGACCTTGAACTTGCACAGATAACCTTTGATCAAGGTCATGACACAACCTTAGGTCATGAGCAATCTTTGCGTGAAATGGGAACTCATCAAGTTTATCCATAAGAAAGATATAAATCGGACACTAATTATTAAAATGTTCTTCCAGTTAAGAGTTGTTAACTTCCCAAATGACCCTATATTCAAGGTCATGACACACCCTTAAGTCATGAACAAGCTGTGTGAAAAAGTAGATTCTAATGTTTCTCTGTTAAGAAAGATATGGTTTACGGACACGTTTGCATATTTTACATCTGACATAGACAGATGGACATGTTTCACAACCGTAAACTATACTTTACACGGACTCTCATTTGGACAAAACTGATTCCTATATACAGTTTCACGATTTGTAAACTATAGTTTGCAAACGAGGGTATATAATTTCATGATTTGTGAAACTTGAAAACCCTAGCAAATAATTTATTAATCACAGAACATTACCATGTTTACTTGAAAGCTAGATATACCGGTGCTCATATCAATGTTTACCTTTTGACCTTGACTTTTGGACAAGTGGCCTTCAATCTATAGGGATCTTTTTAATTGTGTAGTGAATATGAAATCCGTGCATTGCGACAAACTCATGTGCTTTTGTCAAATGAAAAGGCTTATTCATGCAAATACAAAAATACCACATTGTAACTTTGATATTTGATTGATTGCAAATTGTTTAGAGATCCCTAGTTTATCGATTGTGATTTTTCACTTTTTGTGATATATAGACACGTCATCGTATGCTTGTCAATAATTTATCTCGTTGTAGAAATTGTTCATACATATAGCATGTTCTTGCGTATCGAATCAACTGAGATTATTATGCATCCGGATCGATAGATCCGGGGCGTATATTGTTTTGTTCTGTCTATCTGTTTGCATGTTTGTTTGTTTATTTGTCTGCAAACTTTAACCCTCACCATGACTTTTGAATCATGAAAGATAGAGACTTCATATTTAGTATGCATACTTCACTAATTAAGCTCTTTCCTATGACCATGTGACATTGAATGTGACTTTTATGCTAAAAATAGTTTATTCGATCTTTCACCATAACTTTTAATTCATAGGAGATAGAGACTTCATAATTGGTTTGCATACTAGTCAAGTTCTTTCAAATTATACCAATGTCAATGACCCTGTGACCTATATAAATTGACCTATATGCTAAAATAGCTTTTTCTTTTTTTCCTTTGAATTTTCCTTCCAGTATTCTTTTTTTTTTTTACAATATTGGACCTGTGCCAGGTGAATTTACATACTTTGTAAATAAATAAATTTTTTGACAGGAACTATATAATCAGGATATATATGAAGCAACTTCTTGGGGTTAGAAGTATTTTTTCTTCAACTTTAAAATAGGATACACCACCTCAGATCTGCTTCTGTTAATTGTTCTGCTACATGTAGTATTATTGGAGAATATTGATGATTTGCATCATTTACATTCTGACTTCTTCGCTGTGGAAACTGGTCGGTATTTCTTGGCATGCCTCAACAAATAATAGACTATTACATCTCGATATATAAGTGAAAGCACTCTACCCATATTCATTTTCCATGATGATAATCGACAAAGGTTTTCCTCTGCTAGTATATTTATACTATATTTATCAACCCTTGTTTTGATATGTAAATATAAATTCATTTTTTCTCAAATTGAATTAGTGGGATATGGGACTTGTGAACCTTCACCCGAGACTAGTGGGCCGTCGGAATAGGGAACCTTCGGATTTGTGAACCTTTACACTAGTGGGCCGTCGTACTAGTGAACTAGCACTAGTGGGCAGACCCTTTTAAGGTTAAATTAAATTGATGTGAGAAGAAAATTCACCAGAAATTAAAAGAAAATGAATAAATAAATGGAAATGAACAAGAAATAAATATCTAAGAAATGGAAAAAAAAAACCGTTTGAAATATTTAAGTAAATCAAATTGATGGGAGAAGAAAATTCACTGGATATTCTCATAAATTTTCTCATGACTTTTACAATTAATCAAAAGTTCTTAATTCTTAATGTTAAAATTAGAATGTGTCAGATTTTAATGCAACTCGACTTTTTGACCAGGAAACTTTTTTCTCATATATTTATATAGAAACTACAGCTAGTAATTACGTGCAACTAAATTTACAGTAAGCTGTCTGTGTGACCTTGTAAGGCCGGTTCATACACTTAATTCAGATCGATCTTTATTATATTGTGGATAGATTGATTTATTATATGTTGTTTAACGTCTCTCTCAAGAATTTTTCACACATATATGGAGACGTCACCGTCTGCCAATGAGGGCTTCAAATTTATATAGATCTATACTCGGCACTCAGGGCCATTGATCAGTGAGGGTTCTTTAACCTGCCAACGCCTACCGCGACACGGGACCTACATTTTTAAGGTCATATTCGAAAGACCCGTGGCTTTCACTTCTAATGCCGAGCAAAGGAATAGTCACTACCTATGTACACGTCTTAGGTCTGACGCGGCGCCGCGAACGAGAATAGAACCCGGGCCTCCCGTATCACTAGTAGTATATTTGAGATAAAATATAGTGTAGAGATCTAAATTTTAAACACAACTGCTGTGTTCATTGATATCGATAAACATTGTTATGGAAGACAACTAAATTTCAGATAAAGTGGTGTAGAAAACTAGAAATTACTTAATTTACACACTAAAACACGTAGATTAATTTACTCAAGGGATTTCCTCTTCTAATTCAAGAATTCTTCCTCTTTCCTGAACAAAATGTGAAAATGGCTTCTTATAGTTGGATGTAGATTTAAAAAATGAGATTTGTATATTTTATTATGAATACAGATTAGAACCACACATTTCATAAGATTCTAAACTGTTAGGATGTAAATCTTGAGGACTGATGGAAAGTAAAAAGGATAACGACATGTATACTTGGGCCGTTATACACATTAACTCAAAAGTAAACCAATTTTCATTCGCGTGCTAGAAATTTTCGCGAAGTTCGCGAGAGCCTCGTCATCGCGAATATTTCTCACCGCGAACCGGTTCTTAAAGTCTATGTGTCTATAAAAAAAAGAAACCTTAATAGGCTTTATCGCGAAAATTAATCGTCACGAACTGGTTTACCCCCGGCAAATCGCAAAATAAAGTAGTCGCGAATAAAAGTTGGTATATGTATCATATACCGCCGGTATTCACCCAAAATGTTAATTTTTAAAACCTTTGCCCCGTCTCTAATTATTATCACATTCAAGTTTCAAGTGTGAATCTGAATGCCCAGCGTGATATTAATTTGAACTCATCACATTTAAGAGACACTACCAAAAAAGTGTTTACTCATTTTTTTTTTCATGCAAAATTATCAATGTATTGAATCTATTTTTTTAAACAGTGATTTGGGTATCCAGCATTTATCAGAGTCTGTGTTTGTGGGACTGCGTCGCATAGTGGGGACCTCTCAACAGGTGGCCATGAGGAGAGAAATACTTGAAATGGACGAAGTGATACAGGATCAAGCTTTTTTAAGTGATAAATTTAAATTGATAACAAGTGGCAGTTATAGGGAAGGATTCAGGCTACAGGGGTCAGATGTAGACATGATGATCTGGTTAAATCACTTCAAAATAATCTGGGACTTGGATCAGGCTCAGAATTATGATTTAAATAGAAAAACACTGATTCTCAGTGTTTGTTCGGAAAGTCCACCTGGATTTGCTTTACTTGAATTATTGACAGAGACTAACCAGGTATATCTAAAGAATTCATGTATAAGAATCAATGACAGACTCTATATATCAAGTTCTAAGTTCAGAAGTATTCATTGTTATTCTGGATTTAGGGAACATGGTCCTTGTAGTTATGTTGTTCAAGCGGAACTAGAATTTGACTTTGCCCACTGTTTTGTCTGACTTTTGGCCTCCTCCCGCCTTCCAATGGAGAAACAGGTGTCACTCATGGCCCCCGCCTCCTATCATTGATGAAATAGTCCGAAAAGGGTGTCATTTTGTAGCAATAGGACACAAATTAGGAAATCATGCTGACAAAGAATGGAGAATTTCCTTCTCTTTGGCAGAGCAATATCTAGTTTCCTCTATGAATCATTGCCAATTCTTAACATATGGTCTACTTAAATTATTCTTGAAAGAATGCATTAACAGTAGATTAAGTGAAGAGGAGAAATTATTGTGTTCTTATCACATGAAGACGGCTGTTTTTTGGGTGATTCAACAAAATATGATACCTCACTGGTGTCCACAAAATTTCCTGCAGTGTTTCTGGATCTGTTTTAAACTTATCCTGAAATGGGTGTATGAAGGCATTTGTCCAAATTTTTTCATTCCAGAAAACAACATGTTTCTGAGTAAAATTCATGGTCAAGCACAAAAGGATTTGTTCATTAGACTCCATGAATTATATGAGATGGGTTTAGCATGCCTTCTTCACAGTCAATCCTTAAAATCCGATGTCATAAGTGTCCTTCTAACTCCTAGGCAATCTGTTTGTACAGATGAACACACTTTGGTTTCTAAAGTCCAGTTTGAAATATATCTATTCTATGAGATATTTAACATCAATATACTCATTAGAGACTTACCCACTTGTATGAGGTACCTTATTGCTATAGAAAGGTTGAAAAATTTACCCCTTACACAATATCAGAAACTTGTTTTACAGCACAGTACAGCTATTACACTCCAGAGCACAGCTTTTATTTTACTCAACTTCTTAACAGATTCAATCACAGCACTCGAAGTGAATAACAACACATGTAGAAATAAAGAGACATATTTAACTGACAAAACGTCCCTTTACATGCTAAGATTAGCCGCTAAGTTTGGGTTCATTTCCGACAGGCTGTATATTGCCATGTATTATTACAAGACATTCAGATACTTGGAAGCTTTAAATATGATAGAATCTACAAAAGCCAAGTTAGCACAGCCATATGCAATGTTAAGGGGACATGTAAATGCATGGAGATATAGCGAGACTGTAGGGAGACTTTCCTTGTCTACAAAGATGAGAGAGGCTGTTGCATGGGATATATTTCTGAACAATAACATTTTTTACATTAATGAGTTATTGCCAGAACAACAGTCTGGAATACTGTATAGATTCCCTGGATTGTACATCCCCCTCTATGTTATTTTAAACATGCTGGAGGTCTTTTGTTACAGACATGTAGACCCAGCAAGAACACAAAGAGCTTTGAGTGATCTAGAAGATCTTGTACACCATGATCATGAGACAAACATTCTTAGAAACGGAAAAGACATATCATGGGAGATCCTAGGGATTTGTCAACAGATTACCGGGAATTATCAAGCTGCTCTATATTCATACCAACAATCCCTAACACAAAAAACAGTGCAAAAAATACAAACTGCAACATTAATGAGGATACGGCAAATTATAGAACTTAACCATTGAGGCAAGCATTTTATTGACAGTACATTAAGAACATGTAGATAAAGTTTAGAATCAGATTTTTGTTGGAAAAAATTTAGCAAAGTCAAAACTCTTGTTGACAATGGTAAGAAGCAGCTGTCACAATTTCCGTTGTAAATTGAAAGTTGTTTTTTATCTTAAAATTTTTATCTTCAAAAATTTAAATAAATAGATCCCTAAATAAAAGGAGGAAATAAATGGGAAAGTCAATTTTTCTAACTTTTGCAGACCATTTGATTCTTTATAATGCATTGTGTTTATATAAAAGGAAGCTTTGTAATATGTTTGTTAGTTAAGTTTATATATAAACATTTTTTTTTACTCTCAACAAAATAAATATTCAAACAAAGCGTATCACCCCCATGATATGTTGTCAAGAAAAAAATTAACAAATTATGTTTTTTCCAAACATTGTATTCTATAATATATGCAAAGTTTAAAATATTAAATAAGACCAAGATCTGTTGTTTCATTTCAGCATTTCATAATACATGGTATTAATACAATATTTGTACATATATTAAAAAAAATCTTAACATTTATGAAATGATTGTTTAATTGATAAAATATTTAATTTTGACATTCCATTTTGTATTTTCTAAATCAACATTCCATTTTCGTTCATTACTTTCTGTTTGTGGTGTATGTCATATATTTTACAATTAAAAATTGTTAATTCAATGCATAGAATGACCTTTTATAATATTCACAACCAAGACAGAGCAAGAGCTGTCAAGCACAACGTAATTGTTATCCACTGGACGATAACTTACAACATTGGATGATATTCTAAAATTCTGACTGAAACTTTAATTTAACTGGGTGAATATAAAACCATTACTACATTTATTTTTTTACCATTCAAATATTTGATATATATAACAATGCTTCAAGAATGTTTAAACTATTAATTCCAATTTGCAGAAATAGACATTATTGTCATTAAATGTAAAACAAAACAAATACAGGTAACACAAAAATAACTTAAATTCTACGTAAGAGGCAGTACTATTAGTAATCAATAACAAAAACAAAATGAACATTAAAGGTATGATTGAACGATAAAATCACTGATAGTTATATGAGAAAAATCATGAGGACATTTTCATTCTTACATACATGTTTTATTACAAAATGTTTTGAACATTGTTTAAAAATTTGACATGTGAAAAGTCATCAATATCACAATTTGGCCGAGTCCTTTGAGGGGCGGTATAATTTCCCCTTGGCTAGTCCCAGCAGGCATGATGACAAATAAAGCTGACATTTAGATCACCCATTCTGAAGCAGTGGCACTGAAAGACATCAAGTAGACAGTTTCCTTTCATTAAGAGTTCTGAGAAAAAGAGATCTCATTTGCTTCTTGCATTCACATCTGATACTCCTGCAGATCTATCATACAACCTGAAAAAGAAACAGAGAGATCTGATAAAAAATTATGAAAAAATACGAAATAGAACATTTCAAAATAAGAGGCCACCTGAGTATAATGGCTAGAAAGCACTTATCAGTTCAGTAGTGAAAAGTTTACTGAGGGGAGAGGATGTTGAGGGGAGCAGGGGATGCCTCCATATCAATACATAACATACAATTTTGCACGTTGCTGTTCTTGAAACTTTAAAAAAAAAAAAAGATTGTCTTCCTAAATGGATATCTCAATATAAATATGATCATGGCTTTTCCATTCTTGAAAAAAAAGATTTATACAGATTTCTTCTATAAAAATCTCTATGGTAAACTTTGATCCCCCATAATGGTTCTACCTTACCCTGGGAGTTATGGTCTAATCAATACTTCCATATAAATAATCATTATTTACTATTCCTGAGAAGTATTTTCTGCATATTTCTATGTTAATTGTTTATCCCTCATTGTGGCCCCAATCTAGCCCCGGAGGTCTTGATTTGAACAATCCTGAATCTAGACCACTTGAAGATGCTTAAATATTAATAAGACCAATCATAGCTTTGCAGTTCTTGAGATGAGAATTTTCAAAGATTTTTGCTATATAATTTATATACCTCGGTAAACTTTTGATCTTCTATGGGGGTCATCATTTGAAAAAAACTTGCTATTACATGTATCTCCCCTTGAAAAAGGGAGTATTCCTTTATTTGAAGAAACTTAAATTGTTTTTATCTAAGGATACTATGTACAAAGCTTTGATGAAATCGGACCACCAGTTCTTCAGAAGATAAAAATGTAGTTTGTGAAAAGATAAAAATGTAAAAAGTTTATGACGATGACAACAATGATAGAGATTTTTTGTGTCATCAAGACTCCTTCGATTTTAAATCCTAATGAATTGCAAAAATGTCAAACAAGTAACAACTCAAACTTGATTCATCCACAAATTGGAATCCTAATGAATCGCTAAAATTTCTCAAACCATAAAAAAGTAGACTCCACAAAAATAAGTGATTTGAAAGCATTTAATTCCAGATGGATTTGAATTTTTCAGTGCTCAAGTTTTTTTTTTTTAAATCTCCGGCAATATTTTGGGTTTCTTTCAAGATGCACCTATCAAGCACAAGACAATGAGCACAGTAAATTAATTCATATATACCTTTTAGACACAGAGATATTATTGTATAAGATGAACTTTTTCAATGTCCATTTCGAGCTTATCTGGCAGCTAGTATAAGTGGCTGTAGATTGGCCAGTGGCTTTGCTAGTCGAAGGAAGGGATGCTGCAATGAGCAAAAGATTCTCAAGATTAACAGGAAATTTTTAATCATTAAAAGTATATGTCTTTATCAAATATTTAAGCACAAACAAAATTTTCACACAAAAAATCATATTATATACTGACACGCAAAAGAAACGCAACAAGCAGTAATCTACAAATGTTTGAATTTTTTATCTAATGATTTTCAAAAAAGAATACAGTAAGACTAGTCCGAAAAATCTGACGTTTTTCTGGCTTTTTTTACGATTTTGATATTTCACATGCCAGGAAAACGTCAGAACCGGCGCCATTACAAAAACTGGGAAATCGCCGCCTCCAACCGGAGGCGGCATTCAGAGGTTGATTTTCGATACTTGTAAACCGAATTAAATGCTGAATTCACATTTTATCAATAATACTACACCTTTAGTACTCACCAACACCGTTTTTATGTACTGTTTATGAAATAATATAATTCAATGAACACATTTTATCTGACTGTTGAGATTTGTTTTCATTTCGTGCATTTTAAAATCGTGCAAGTTCTGAATAGGAATGTGGAGTGGTAATTTCTATTCATCGATATTGGTGAGTTCTAGGAGCATTATGCCAATAATAAATTGTGATTTCGGCATCTAATTCGGTTCCCAAGTATAGAAAATCAACTTCGAGTGGAGACGGTGAAATTCCCAGTTTTCGTAATGGCGCCAGTTCTGACGTTTTTCTGGCATGTAAAATATCAAAATTTATTATTATTTTGTGGATAGATAGATTGATTGATTGATTATATGTTGTTTAACGTCTCTCTCAAGAATTTTTCACACATATATGGAGACGTCACCGTCTGCCAATGAGGGCTTCAAATTTATATAGATCTATACTCGGCACTCAGGGCC